TTGAGAAAAACATATCTAACACTCGATGAATGTCATTAATGCAATTGAAATATAACATAACACCCTGTAGGCGCTTGCATCATTAATTTGAGAAGAAATCGCCCATAATATCACTTTCAAAATTGACAGAAGAAGAAGAAGAACCCTAGAGATCCTAAAGATTAAAACACCACTCATACGAGTGTACATTCCACTTGTTCAATAACGTGTGAACTTTCAATCAAACCAAGAGAAGACAAAGATCAAATCAAACATTGACGTGTTGTAGATCCCAATCGATCCACACATACCAACCGACGGCGCACAAAACTTACATCTCAATTTTTATCTACATCCAATCTCCCATCAAATTTTTGCAGCTAAAAATTTGCTAGTCATTTTGTGAAAATAAATCATTGTGGGCAAACTACATGCACTGGAAATACCACATGTCAGGGCAAGTGATTGCCTATCCCAAAGACTCAAATAGTTGGAAACAAATTTGCCACATAGCATGTTCACAAGGAGTGTATTAATATTAAACATGAATCAGTTGTTCGGTCATTTGAGAAAGACGGCTAGTTCAGCCTTACTAGTGCTTATAACCATTCCCGAGTCAAACACCCCACCACTTTCAGCCTTACCCAAACATGGCTTCCCTTCCCAGACAACCTTAAACGGTTCAACATTCAGATGGCTACACGCTGCCCCTCTATGCAAGAAAAATGGAGGATACCCAAAATCATTCCCTTTTCAACTGCTCTAACATTAAATTCATTTGGGACTACTTTTCTTGTATTTTGCATGTTAGGAAAGACGGATCATGAGGACCTACGTCAGACCCTATTCCTATGGTGGATTGGGGAAAAGACAGGTAGCACGACGAATACACTATGCCAGGCAATGCCTGCAATCATTTTACACAATTTTATGGCTAACCTTTTTTGGGGAACAACTGGGGTCAAACCTAAATATCACTGAAAGAACTGGTAGCTCATTTGCAGACCAGGAGATGAGGGGGGCTCAATATCAGATCCATGTATAACCTACAGGGAGCTTTGCAGCTAAATATTTGGTGGTCATTTTGTGAAAATAAATCATTGTGGGCAAACTACATGCACTAGAGATACCACATGATAGGGCAAGTGATTACCTATCCTAAAGACTCAAATAGTTGGAAACAAATTTGCCACATAGCAGGTTCACAACATGGAGTGTATTAATATTAAACATGAATCAACTGTTCGGTCACTTGAGAATTGAAAGACGGCCAGTTCAGCCTAACTAGTGCTTACAACCATTCCCGAGTCAAACATCCCACCACTTTCAGCCTTACCCAAACATGGCTTCCCTTCCTAGACAACCTCAAACGATTCAACATTTAGATGGCTACACGTTGCCCCTCTATGCAAGAAAAACCAGGATACCCAAAATCAATCCCTTTTCAACTGCTCTAACATTAAATCCATTTAGGACTACTTTTCTTGTATTTTGCATGTTAGGAAAGACGAATCACGAGGACCTACGGTAGACCCTATTCCTATGGTGGATTGGGGAAAAGACAGGTAGCACGACGAATACAGTACACTACGCCAGGTAATGCCTGCAATCATCCTATGGTACGTCTTGAAAATTTACAACAGTTGTGTTTGGGAAGACAAAATTTTATCAAGGACTCACATTATAGCAGAAATTAAAGAATTCACAAGGACATGGCTCTATAGCCATCAACATAGGTCATTCATTCATTTTGAAGAAGACTTACACTATGATGGACTCATGCCGATCATTAAAAACACAAACATTCATGGAGAGCTTATATACCTCAAGGGCTCTCGCTAAACATTGACACAACGTTCTAGGAAACAAAAGCGCTGGAGGGTCCATTCTGAGAACTGCTTCCGGAGATGTGAAACAAGCTATGGTCTTTCCTCTTTTATCAACAAACCCATTTGAGGCGAAGATATTGGCATTGAGCACCTCCATACAAGAAATAGTAGCAGGTAGTACAAATCATTCATAGTTTTAATATATTCAGAAACCAGTGTTAAATTAATTCAAGGGCTCACCACTGTACCTGGTTACCCTCAAGCAACTGATTGCAAACATCAACACCCTTAGAGTTTCGAACGACCTCACCATCGCCTTCCGTCCTCTTCAAACAAAGGCAGTTAGTTTACTCGCTCTTAAAAAGATGTAGTAATATAGGGTGTAAGTACGAGTATCGTCTCCACAGGGACGGAAAAAGGGAATTAGGAATTATCTAAATTCAGCGATGAACAAAAAATAAAATAAAATACGATGTGCGAGATTGATTGGTTTGGAGAATTAAAATGCAATTAATCGATTAAAAAGCTAGGTTCTTTCCGATTAACCACGAAGGGAACAAGGATTGATTTCGGGGTAACCAAATTTCTGGCTGATCAGACGTAATCACATGAAAATTATTTAATTGAGCAACGCTGGTCAATACTAAGTTATTACCGCTCTCACGGTGTAGAGTACAATAATTTAGGGAACCTGACTGATCTCTCATGCGGCAGGTGTCTAAAATTATTGCCAAAATGAGAGAGCGTACGGCCCGTGAATCATTACTAATCTCTTAGAGAACGATTAAGTGTGTGAAGGTGTCATAGAATAAATTAGTTCTCTTTTAATTTATTCTACATTCAATTATAATCCCAATAGTCATTCTAGGTTACAAGAGATATCAATTAAATCATTCAAACACAAATTAAACAGTATTCATGCAATTAATTCATCATGAACTTAGCCATATATCACGATTAACCCCTTCATCAACCCCAAATCTCTAATTAAGACTACTCACAATTCATAATTGAAGAATCAATAGAATTGAGATCAAAAGAATTAATTTTCATTAATTAAAAAGTAGGAACTAACAAATAATCCCAAGATCTTGAAGAACAAAGCGGAAAACAATGTAGAAATTCGTTCCTAGGTCTCTCTCTAAATTCTGTAACTCTTAAACAGGGGTTTAGAGGCCTTATTTATAGAAAACCGAGGAATTCAACTTGAAATGGGCATTTCCGGGGCAGGCACAGTTCCCAGGCACGGCGTGCATGGCGTCCGTGCCTCCGGAACATGCGCGAACTTCGGTGTCTGGCACGGCGTGCCTTCCCTCGCATGCAAAGTGTGCCCGACTGGCAGTATCCATCTTACATTCTCAACCTTCTGGGCACGATGTGCCCGATGGCACACACGGCGTGCCCAGCGTATTCCTTCGCCAGGTGCATTTTGCCACGCACACATGACATGCCTCCCTGGCAGGCACGAGGTGCGTGGCCTATTCTTGGCCCATCTCTTCCGTTTATTGCTCTAAATGCTCCCGATTGCTTCCTTGATCGATCCTAAAGCTCTTTTATCATCAAATCTTCATTATGAACCTCCCGGTGACCTCCAAAGCTCTCAATTCTATTTCAAATGCGTCTTGACTCGTCCCGATTGCTTCCCAAGCACCGGTGTCAGGCTCAAATTCCCCGATTTTGACTCCAAAAATAGCAAACTCGAACCAACACCCGGTAAAACATGACTTGAGCTAAAAATGAGACTTATGACACCTTAAAGCTAGGAAAACTATCAAAAGCCTATCTCAACACACATCAAATGCATGTAGAAATACGGACTTATCACACACCATGTCGCATAAACGTGTCTGAGATGAGATATATTGAAGCGATGAAAACAAACAATCTCCCGCCTAAAGCGAAGAAATCTTTTTTGAAGATAAGGAGGGGGTTACCTTGTTCAGGGATACCAGGTGACAATCACACCATGCAGAGATGACTCCCAAGCTTCCGATGATCTTAGCACTTTACGAAACGACCGACGATCTCACTTCTCTCTAATTCGACCATCCCTTTTCATGTCGCTCATGCTCTCTCGCCACTCTCTAAAACGAAGTTCCCAAAACCCTAAAATATTCAGAAATGGACACACACCTTGGACTATTATGTTGGGATGGAAACAAATATTCCCTTTCTTGGAATTTTGTGAGGTTAAAGGGTCTTCACGGGCCATTAGGGCACAATCGCTATGGCAAACTCTTTCTTTCTTTGTAATGTTTTTATATCTTGGTATCCTTTTGGTCTTTGACTTTTCTATTGTAATTTCTCATCTTTTTTAATAAATCCGGTAAATGTTCCCTGACATTTACCTCACCTTTTGAGGCGATTTTTCGGGGAAAAAAAGAATAAGAGATAATTGCCTCCTTGGAGAAAAAGTAATATGGATACAAAACTCACACGGAGCTTGAAACAGGACCAACCTTGACATATTATAGGTGAAGTAGAAATTTTAAAAAAGTTTTTTCAAATGCAAAAATATGATAGTTTTGAGATTATTTGTTTACAAATACTATCGTACATGGTTGTGTAGAAAACATTAAAAAAGTTCATTTATTCCACCAAACCTTCTCACATGGAGTTTTTTACGATGACACCCAAAGCTTAGTCACATTTTCAATTGCAATACACCAATATACATAGATTTAGATTTTTATAAAAGGAAAAAAACTAATGTATGAGGTTCACCAAAATTAAAGAAGAAATCCAATTCTATAAATGTTTATTTCTAATACGCGGGAGGAGTTTTGGTATCTACAATCGATATAATCTTCTTTACCACTCATATATAAAGTTAAAATAATATGCATGCAGTTCCAAACCTCTTCATTTATGGGTTTTTTTGTGTTGTGTATATATTAATACTCATATATAAATCAGAAATCCATGAAGCACAATGCAGTCTCAATGTTTCATGAGAAACTTGTTATGTGTGTGGTTATGTGCATGCTTTTTACTTGTTAGAACGCTTTTCTTATGCAATATTATATTTATTTTATTTTGTTGTAAGTTTGATCATTCTGGAGGTGTCTGATAGAATGAATTTTTTACTTTATAATGTTCTACTACAAACGTTTCCAATTCAAATAACATTTTTTCTTGTATGGGAAACATTTTGTTGCCAGTTGTATTTAAATATCCAACTTATATCACATTATTAAGTAGTTCTTGGATTTATAATGAATAATTTACGTAATTTCTTTGTACAAAACACTTCAAAGAGATTCCAGAAAAATACACACTTTAAGGCTGTATAATTTACAATTTTTACAATAAACCCATGAAAATGTTTGACAGATAGAATATGAAAACCACTCTTAGAGCCTTGCACATTTGGATGACTCCCCCATCAGATAGGTACCCACATACATACATACATACATACATAGATACATACATACATACATACATACATACATACATACATACATACATACATACATACATACATACATACATACATACATACATACATACATACATACATACATACATACATACATACTTCCTCCGTTCCTTTTTAATTGCAACAGTCAACATTTCACGTTTGCCAATGCACAAGTTTGACCATTAATATCTTTCATTCCTTATTCGTAAAAAATTTAAAAAATTCATATTTTGAAATTTTAGAATGTGAAGAATTTAACAATATTTTTAAAAAAATTAATTTATTAAACATCAACTAATAAAATGTAGTCAAAGTAGAAGATGTGAATAGTGCAAAAAGTACAATGTTGCAACTAAAAGAGAACGGAGGTAGTACATACATACATACATACATACATACATACATACATACATACATACATACATACATACATACATACATACATACATACATACATACATACATACATACATACATACATACATACATACATACATACATACATACATACATACATACATACATACATACATACATACATACATACATACATACATACATACATACATACATACATACATACATACATACATACATACATACATACATACATACATACATACATACATACATACATACATACATACATACATACATACATACATACATACATACATACATACATATATAAGAACTCATTAGAGTTTACACTTATACACTCAATAAAGAATGAAACTAAATGGATTATGTAGGTGACACACATGGAGGACACCACTTTGTTTGCTTAATTTGTGGGAGGCGAAATAGTCATTAAATGTGGAAGTTGAGGCGAGAAGTATAAGTAGCTTTAGGAGCCCAATTCCGAGGAATAACATCGCTTGCGGTGAGGGTAGCTCCGCTTGAGAGCGTCGTAATTTTTACTGACAATGGCCCTCTCAAAGGCCCGTTGAATACCCAGTTTGCTCCCCATAAGTGATTCATCTCTAGCCACTTTTTCGACCCTAACTGCACCCAATACATATGATTCTTCATTCATTTAATTATTCAACAGCTCTGCCTCTTGTATATGTCATTTTCATACACAGTCCATACACGCTGTCTATGAAAATTATTCTTGTCTGTGAATAGACTGTTCACAGAAAACATACATTTTGTCTGTGAAAAAGCTATTCACAGACAAAAAAACTTCACATGCGGTGTATATGGGGAATGTTTAGCGGTATAAACATGGTGTGCACAAATAGTTTTTTCTTTATTCAAATTAAGTAAGATATTGTTAACTAAATTCTCACATGCCAAGTTATACACGCCTTTTTTTTATATGTGCACAAATAATATTTTTCGTTTTTGTCAAGTAAATTGTATGTGACACAAATCGAAGTGAATTAAGTTCTGACACAAGCAAAAGTAAATTGTTTGTCTCACGGAAATTTCACTTTACAATAATTATAGTTACCTCTTTGATGTGCATGGATCCAATATCACCATCTCCGTTTTCGAACTCGACCAAAAGGGAAAGCCAGTAAGCGGTTGACCCCTCATTCACATGAAAGGCAATATTCTTTCTCTTATATTTGCACGGTGTCCTAACATGAGTAATTAAGATACATCAATAAGAGCACATTTACTCCATATGTCTTAATGTTTAGTAGCATGTGAAATAATTACTTTACACGTGGAACGTATTATGTATAGACGTAAAGAAATCTACATAGTTTATATTGACTCATTAATATGCACAGCATCACATTTTTTGAACATTTTACACGCTAAAATATACTACATAAAATATTTCAGGTGAGGGCAATAAAATACGTTAGATGCATTTTATAAGTCAACTTTGTATCATTGCATAAGTAAATATTTCAACGGGAAAACAACCAAACTCATTTACACCTATTTTGGCAAGTTTTAATCTAACTTATTCCTTTAATAGTATTAAATAAGTTTTATTTGTGCAATAAAACATGTTTAATAGTTAATCCTATTTTTAAACTTTGTTTATAATTTGATCTTGAGCAATTTCTATAAATATAGTCTTTCCAAATAATAGGGAGGAAGTATAATATAAGTATACAAGTTAAACAAACGCCATAGTATGAAATAATCCGTACGAAGTAATATGCGTACCTACCGTCGATAAATGATGGGCATCTCACCACGGTCACGAAGGCTGCTGCCATGGCCAGTGATGGCCATGCGGCCATAAACGGAGCCACTTAGGTCGAAAAGCGGCCGATCACTGTAACGTTGGGGAGCTTGATCAGTTATAATAACCGTCACAGCCTTTTTCGAACAAATGGTATTGTCCAGACACTTGACCTTGTAACAAGCGCCGCAACCTTCTCCTTCCTTGAACAACGCCGGACTCACGGCCCCCACCCTCGCCTTAAATGGTTGTACATCCACCATTGTCCCGTACCCGCATGCCCCTCCTACTCTTCCATCAAATTTGCCACATTTTCAGTCAATTTTCGTATGATATGAAGCCCCAAGTTTTCACCTATTTTTTTTTTATATATATTACCCTCCCCGTCCAATTTTAGTTGTTTTACTTTTCTTTTTGGATTGTCCCAAAATGAAGTCCAGAGTCTTTTTTGGCAAGAAATATGTGATCCATATCATTCCACTTTATTATAATCAAATATTAGTTATCAACCACAACATTTAATTTTCAACCAATTTATTAATAATCGTGTCAAACTAAAACAATTTATGAATATGGGACGAAGCCACAGAGGCAGTAAATTATAAGTTTATTCTTCATGCATTTTTTATTTATGACATGTTCAATTTTACACTATTTACATGATCTACTGTGACTACATTTTATTTATTAATTTATGAGAATTATTTAAAAAATATTTTTCAATTCTTTTCATTATGAATTTTCAATATATGTTTCAATTTTTAAATAAATTATATCGTCGGTCAAAGTTGTGCGTCGGAAAATGTACAAAGTGGACCATCACTATGTAACTAGTAAAGAACTTAAGATAGTATCAAATAATATATGGAAACATGCCCTTCCTGCAGATGTACGGGATAATATAAGGGTGGGATATTAAGTGTTGGCCGGAACAATTGTTGGATATATAGGAGGAATACTCGAAAATATTATTTATTAATTACTCCGTAGTTGATATTTTCATATGTGTTCGTACAAGAGAGCTTGATACGCCTTGCAATATAATGGATCGTTGGAGCAGATCAATCTTTTGATCCGTGTGCTCGAGATATACACATGATCTAGTTTCTCGTTAGAGTTTAGTTATCTCTAATACCATACTAAGTCTTGGGGTTTCACTTAATAGACTAAACATGGTAGGAGACAGTTCAAAACTTTATATATATTGATTGTATTCTCAGAGTCACAGGTGGTCGACATCTGATAGCATAATAAATATTTTAAATATGTTTCTAGTCCTTGAAAATATAGTACATTTTGTTTTACATTCCTGTAACTTTTTTCTCCCCTGTAATTTATATTGGTTTCCTTTTTCGTAGATCATTGATGATAACAACCTCCTCTTGGCCTCAAAATAACTCGGATTAATAGTTTTTCTCTAATTCTTTGCCATGTTATCCAAAAAGTATTTAATTTTATTTGGGAAAAGGGTCAAATAGGCCCTCAAACTTACATAAAAAGGTCAAATAAGCCCTTATATAGGAGGCTATGTCCGGCCGTCGTCATTTGGGGCAGTTCCCGGTGTAATTTTTTGATGAATTTTTATAGCACCTTATGTATTAAGTCTAGTTTACTCATACCAAATTTCAGCTAACAATTCAATTGGATAGACATTCAAATGAATTTTTGAAGATAACTACGCTCTTAACTGCGTAGTTATCTTCAAGAATTCATTTGAATGCCTTCCCGATTGAAGTTTTAGCTGAAATTTGGTATGAGTAAACAAGACTTAATGAAAAAGATGCTCAAAAAAATTCATCAAACAATGTCACCGGGAACCGCCCCCAATAGCGACGGCCGGACAGAGCCTCCTATATAAGGGCTTACTTGAACTTTTATGTAAGTTCGAGGGCCTATCTGACCCTTTTCCCATTTTATTTTTTAGAATGTTTTTTTGAAACGTTAATACTTTTTTAGAATGTTTTTAATATATATTTTTAAAACGTTAATACTTAGTTTTACATTGTTTTAATTCTCATATTAGCCTCAAAAAATTATAAAAAGAAAAGTTTATATATTTATAATAGATTTAAGTAACTGACAATAATGTTTTTTTGTAAGTAGAGTGGTTTCGGAATTAGAGATGTACTAAAACAAAATATTGCATATACAAGGATGAAAACAAATCTTACAGGGACCTAAAACAAAGTCTGTCATATTTGCATGTACTAAAAACTTATTTAAACCTAGTAAATGAAATGTGTGTAAATAGTTTATCGTAGGAGTGGAGAACAATTTCATGCAGGCGATTGATTTTAAATAGTACTGATGGATTATATGGACTCCGACCCCCCGGTATGCCGACTACTAGATCTGGACAGCGGCCCACACACGTTTAGCGGATATCAATAATATTATTGTACATTATTATTATTATTCAGATGTTCTAGATTAGCTTTTTATACTATCAGTCCATTTATGTAATCGGGTCTGTCAGGCCCATATTAGAGGCCCAGACCCGGATTTTCCCTATATATACTCCTTATAGGAGGCTTGTAACTCATATAACAAATATTATTTCATCCTACACATTTTCTTCTTCTTCCCCATTACTCCTTTTGATTCTTGTTCAATTTCTCCTGTTTATACAATATGGGTATCAATTATCCAACAAGTACCCAAGTCCTTTTTACACCTAGCGAAATAACTACCGGGAAGTCACTTTTACATTCCAATTTCCTCATTAAATTTTCACAACAGGGTTATCAAATGAAAATATTCGAAATATGAGTAAAAGCGTTTTCAAATTATGAAATATGAGTATTATGTTTTTATTTTCTAAATGTGAATAATTAATGTTAAGCTTGAGAAAGATTATCATGTTTAAATCTTAGTAATTATTAATGTCAAAACATAATAATAATTACTCACATGCTACATATTAGTTCTATTTTGAAATTTAAAAACATAATTTTCACCTCCAATTAGAGCAATTTTGTATTATCAAACCATAAAATACAGCTTATTAATTTTTGTTATGTACACATTGATTATTTTTTACTTTTATAGTACTTCGTATGTATTATCATTGATATATTGACGACGGTAGCTCATATTATTTGATGTTATTTTCCATTTACTATACGGAGTATTGATTTCATATTTCATATGAAGCAAGATCTTAATCTGACATTAATTGTGTATAAAACTATTGAACAAAATGTATCTTATTTAGCAAGGTTGAAGGTTCTACCAGTACTGCCATCGCCTTCGGGGCTCCCGTACCAAGTCGCGGTGGCGTTATGCCACTTTGGATCCTTCACGTGCCGGAGGGAGCCAGCGGCAGCAAAAACTGCAGAGGCGGACACAACCAAACTCACCGCGAAAAAATAGCGAATTTCCATAATGCTAATGGTAATATGGAAATTCGACAAAAGCCTCCAATGCCGTTATACAAAGGAACCACGAAAATCCTACAACCTCTGTTTCCATTCCATTCTCACCTTCTTGAGTTATTTTATTCATGACTAATTATGATACGTGTTTTATTTTAGGACCCACCTTCACTTTAGGCATTGAACTCGCAAGACATTTGAATACCGGTTATTTTTGGGAGGTGGCAAAGTTACAAGACATGGAAAATCATCGTGATCTATCTATTATTTCATTATTATACCCTTGAAAATATTATTACTAATTGATGACTTAAAAACATTTTAATATACCTTCTGTTGGTCCCGGTTACACAAGGAAAAGTCTAGAGGGGGGTGAATAGACTGTTCTTGTTTTTAACTTTTTCAAATCTAAGTACCAGACTTAACAGAATAGTCTATTATTCTTAAGTAGACCAGACTAGCATCAGATGATCTTCTGGTAGGTGTTCTGTTCGGGCAGCCTAAAAAACTTACTAAGGCAGTTGGCCTTCTGTTAACTCTTAAGACAAGATATGTTGAACACAAAGTCCAAGTCTGTTAGAGTTAATCAGTTGTAATCTAAAGCAAGTATAAAGTGCAGTAAGTTAATGACACCAGGGATTTTTATAGTAGTTCAAGGAACAACTCGTTCTTCTAGTCCACTGTTCCACTAAGCTTGTAAAAGATCAAGTTACAACGCCTTAGTCCTAGCACTTAAGAAGCCCTTGACGTCTTCTTCAAGCCTAGTTGTCACCCGAGATGTTCTTCCTAGCTTCCTGATGACTGGTCTATTTTCACTGAGTCTCCTTGAAGTATCACCACTTCACTACTTCAGTTACTTTGAGACTTCCTTCTTAAACAAGAAGATAGTTTGTAGAATCTGAGATTTTCTCCGATGTTTCTTCATACAAAAGATGTGTAGTTGAAGCTTTGGAAGTGTTAAAGAACTGGAAGAACTTTTCTCTCGGGTTGGATGATGAAATATGAGAGGTTTAATCTTATCCAACGTCAAGCTTTTTCTTGTTGAGTATAAGGAAGATGAGGTCTCAAGAATGTTGCTTGTATGAGTTTGTAGAGAGAGTAAAAGTTGTCCTAGAAGTCTTTCGAAGTGTATCATGTATACAGAGAGTTGTCTTCCGGTTGGAGTGTAGAAGACAGCTTCATTAAATGTTTGTGCTGTTGTTTTGACCGGTTGAATCCAAAAGTAGATGACTTGCTATGTTGGGGCATATTAAATAATATTCGCCTGGATCTTTGGTTACTCATCAGCTTTAAATATCTCAACGAGTGAAACTCATAAAATGAGCATTAAATGCGCATCCTGTAGCTTTTCCGTTGAGAGGCTCCTAGCCGTTAGGGAATTTCCTGTTAGTTTAACTGGATGAGGTAGCAAGAGCTGAAATCTCTAAGTGTGAGGCCTTCTGGTGGAGCATCAGAGAGATGTTAAGTCCACACGTGCCTTGAGCACTTCTGTCCAGTAGAGGCAATAGAAGACCTGCGGTCTTCTGACCAGTCGAACACACTAGTGCTTACACCTAGAAAAATTCTAATACAAAATTTCTAATAGGGGTACTCTAATATCCTAATCAGTCTAACTTCATCAAAATATAAATACAATTATTCCTTACACATGCAACCAATATATGAATGGTATAGTTCTTCTTGAAGAGATTCTATGTTCTTATTAAAAACTAATAAAGAGTTTTTTTTTAAAATGTTACTAAAATAGAACTTATTTACACACATATGATTAATAGTTACTGCAATATTATAATATCATGGTAATTTAATCTTAAAAGTCAAACATAGTATACTATTCTAGTCACTACTCACATTTTTTAAACAATGTTTAATTAAATCATGTATATGTAATTATTTCAACTAATCATATACTAGCAACTATACATTTGAAATAATGACTTAAGGAAAATAAGAAAAGTTATAAGAACAACTTTTAGACCTTTATTTTGAGGACAAATTAGGAAATTGAAGTTTTGGCTGGACACCCGCCGGTCGGGTATCTAGTCGGTTATCCAATCCTAAATATTGCAGCTTTAAAATAACTACATGATGCCCATTGCTCCCAAATTCAAATAATTATTATTAATGGTATTGTAACTAATAAATAATGCTTTTTTTTTTATAGATATTACTTCGTACTAATTATTATTAATAGTGTTGTGTCCTTCGCTCCATCCGCTAGATCTGCATTGAAGATGCGACAATGTTCGTTCGAAACGGGAGATGGGGATCCACAACGTCGAGGCATGGCAATGGGTCGGGGCGGGGCGGGTACCGCAAGACCCAGACCCGCCCCGTGACTTGGCGGGGCGGGGCGGGTCCGCCCCGTGACCTTCATGGGTCCAAACTTGTTGACCCATGACCCGCCCCATGTGGGGCGGGTCCGTCCCGCCCCGTCGTAACCTAATTAGCTAGTATGTATTTTTATTTGTGGGAAGTTGTTACCAATTGAATCTACATAAATTTTATCTCTAAATAATAATTAAAAATTAATATATTAAATCAAATTCATGATACCCTGAAAATTTCAAAAATTAAAAAAAAAATACTCAGAATTGAATAGTTAATCTATTTAATTATACTAATAATTGAACATATGTATTAAAATGCTATATATAAAGAAGACATTAATAATCCGTCGTTTATCTCATTGTAATATATGTATTAATAAATTATAAGATCAAAGAATTTATGATTTACTGTAAACACACATATGTATGTTGAAGTATATATATTTGTAGTATAATTTAAGAAAAAGTATGTATGCTTACGTATTGAGCGGGTCGGGGCGGCACGGGTCAATACTAATACCCAGACCCGCCCCATTGTCTAGGCAGGGCGGGGCGGGGCGGACCCGCCCCATTTGGAAGACGAGGCGGGCCGGACACGCCCCAAATGTCTCGGGCCAGGGCGGGTCACTGCGGGTCGGTTTTTTTTTTGACATCCCTAACAACTTTTGTTACAAGAGTGAGATGGGCCAGAGAGCGAACCATTTAATCACATTTTGAAAAAATAGATGAGAGTCATATTTTTGTCTTTTAAAAGTGTGTAGGTAATATCTATGTCATTCTTTCGTAAAAGAATGAATGTGACTTCTCCCTTTGGGGACAACCTATAAAATTGGACCTATAGAATTGGAACGTTACATAGAAAAGAATGTAGAATTGGAACGTTAAGTTACATAGAAAAGAATGAATGTAACTTATGTATACTTCATCTAATCCTAAATACTACCTCCGTTCTCTTTTAATTGCAACATTGAACTTTTTGCACTATTCACATATTCTACTTTGACTATATTTTATTTATTAATGTATTATAAATTAAATTTTTAAAAAATATTGTTAAATTCTTCTCATTCTAAATTTTCAAAATATGAATTTTTTTAATTTTTTTACTAATAATGTATGAAAGATATTAATGGTCAAACTTGTGTGTTGGCAAACGTGAAATGTTGACTGTTGCAATTAAAAGAGAACGGAGGAAGTATGTTTTAATTCTAAAAAACACCAGTATATTCTGTCTCAACATGAAACTCTTTGGTTAGTATACAATCCCGCAAGTAATAGGTAATTAATGAGAACAAGCCCGGGGCCCCCACCATCATTTAAAAGGAAAGCCAAATCATTCAGTCATTGAGTCATTCACTGCTGGTTTGGGGTTGTTTGTATGCATATATAAACTTTAATTAACAAGGGTAGATAATGAAACAGGAACAAGGGAACATTACACATCCAATAAATCCGAAATGAGCTTACAATATATTATTACAAACAAGAAGTAGCCAGGCTGAAGGATCAGACCCACTGAAGCTAACAGCTAGCTAGCATGAATGGCTTCCACCCAGCACGTAGATACACACATTCATTAGACTTTACACTCACAATCGTTAAACTGAAAAGCCCGCTAGGCAGGAAAAGGTCGAAAGAAAGAAGCTCAATTTCTTATTCCTTTTAATTAAGTTCGTATTGTTTTGATGATAAAAGAAAGTTGGCATGCTAGATAGCTTAGCTTGTGGTGCTGGCCGGACCATGCACCAAATTAAAGGCAATGGCCGGCTGCCCCGCGGCTAGAAGTTGCGGTCCGCAGTGTAAGTGGCTTTAGACTCTGTTTGCAACTACTTGTGCTTAAATAAAAGCACTTTTGGGGAAAAAGTGATTAGTAGTAAAAGTTGGTAGTGTTTGGTAAAATAAGTGCTTTTTGTGTAATAGAAAAAGTAAAAAGTAGATTCTACACGAAAATCGAGGAAGTAAAAGTTGGTAGTGTTTGGAAAAATAAGTGCTTTTTTCTTAAAAAAAAGCCAAAATCACTTTTTTTAATTGGTTGCAAACAAGCCCTTAGGAGCCCAGTCGTAAGGAATAACGTCTTTTGCAATGAGGGTTGCTCCCGTGGAGAGCGTCGTTACCTTTACTGAAAACGGTCCTCTCAAAGCCCGTCCTGCGTCGATTTTCCAGCTCGCTCCCCAGGACTGGCTCATCGGCAACCAGTCATCCGACCCACCCTGCACCCAACCAAACCAATGTGATACTACTCGTATATACGAATTTGAATTTGTCTCAATGTACATTTTCAGAATTTGAATTTTTGAGTTTTTTATTTTTTACTAATTCGTAAACATATTGTCTTCTACCATACTCTTCTAGTCTCAGTGTCTCACCACTTATTTAAAAAATGGGGGTAGTACTAATAGTCATTCATTCTAACTTTGTTTGCAGCATCTCCTACAGGCTACAGTCATAAATCATTACCTCTTTTGATGACTATGTTTTCCGGTTTATCGGACCACGTTTTCATTAAACATGTAATTTTTTATTTCGCGCACTAAATTGTGTAATAATAAGAAAATGTAAGGTTTGAGTTAATTTTTTGACTGTATTGACTGAAGTTACTGTAGATGATCATTTTAGCTATTTTTCATATAATTTTTTCTTTATTTTATTAATAAAATATATTTTAGATTTTTTTTTATAAATCAGCATAATCAGACAATCCAGCCACGTAAGCTAAAACTTCAAAAATTGCAACAAAATTAGTCAATTCAGCCGATTTCAGGATTACCAAACCGGCTCTATTCAACTCATCTCAGATTCTTATGCATAACAGAAACTCAACATAAATAAATATATATGTATATAGAATACGAAGTATATAAAAGGATTTGAACTTGGAATTAAAAATAGAACGGCGGTGTTTTGGAAAATGGTTTGACTCTTTTTAGCGTTTCCATTAAGCGGAAATGTTGTTTGATAATTAAATAGCAGTTCAGCTCTAGCCTTTTTGGACGGAACAGTTGAAATGCAAACGCTGCAAATACTAGAGTTTTGGATTATCATTTTCAAATATGGTATTCTCTGCGAATTGTTACTCCGCTATTAGCCTTTTCGGACGGAACAGTAGTATATATGAACAAACAGCTAAATTACCAAACATCTTATGAAAACACGTCAAATTATTTCTTTAGTCAAATCTGCTGACTGAATCTGTTATTAACAACACACTAACATAATCCGTTATTCACTAAATCCCAAACATGCCCAATGTCTAATTTTGGTATAACCTCATGGTCAGGGCTTATTAAATGCCAATCGAGCACACAAACCTCTGCATCTTTATACATTATGATTCATTTCTCATATGAATATAGATGAAATGAAATCTAACATACTACCTTCGTCTTGAAAAGAAAGTTCTTACTTTTCTTTTTTAAGGATGTCCCGAAAAGAAGTTCTCATTTTTATAAAAGGAAACCACATACTTTTAACACAAAAGTCTAACTACACTTACTTTTTACCAACTTTATTAATGATATAAATTAAAACAAAACTATACTTTATACATATAAATATGTGTAAGTCAAATCGAGAACTTAATTTGAGGAGGGTGGAGTATATTTAAGACTATTCGTTGACACGTACAAGTCTTCGGTGGGTCCCTTATCCAGCATGACCCTTCTCTGGACACTCAGAGTATGTTTGGGAGTTGGGTTTTGGAGTGGCGGGGAAGGTCGGCAAGGGTTTATGATCCTCCCTTTCATGTTTGGGAGTTTAAAAATATGGGGGGATGGTTTTGCAGGGCTTTTGTAACCCTCCAAATGCTCAATTTTTAAATCCCCCCAAATTGAAGAATTTTGAAGGATAACTAATTAAATGACAACTTTAACTCAATTTTAAATAAATATAAATTCAACTATTTGAATTCATCATATATGTGAAGTTATTTTAATTATAACGCATCCATAACCTTTATCTTTTTAAATTTGTTACTCCCAAGCATACCCTCAAGGACGCGTTCGTGGATCACACTAGCCTTTTTTTTATTTATTTAAAACCATTCTTTTCAGTTTGAGATAATTTGTTTATTTTTCTCAGGGAGTTAAGAGAACAATGAGCTTGGGAGCAAGAATTTGAGAATTTCTCCTCTCCTTTTCCATTTGAAAAACTCACACCTTTTACATATCTTCAAACCACAACTTTTACGTTGCGGGAGGATGAGAAAATTTGCTACTATAAGCTCCCTTTTTCAATTATTAAAAACATTTGAATTATGGGGACTAAAGTTAGTTGACATTGTGTTTTGAATAAAAAATTAATAGCACTATAATACATTACCTTCATTCTTAAATAAGTGTAACATGTTGAATTTACCTTGTTTGCATGTTCTATTTTGATTGTATATTTATTAATGTATTGATAATTTTTTAAAGGAAAACATTGTTAAGTTGTCTCATTATAAATTTTCAAAATCTGTTTTTTATTTTTTATTTTCCCTAATATAGAGAATTATTTATATTGATGATGAAAGTTGTGTATCATCAAATGTGAAAAGTTGACGTTACACTTATTTAAGAACAGGAGAAACATTAATGGTAAATTTGCTTTGTGGTGACCACGGGAGAAACATTAATGGTAAATTTGCATTGTGGTGACCCATATTAAATAGTCGTGTTCCATGATGTGCATAAATCAAAATTACTATTTTAGTGCATACAATATTAGGGGTGTTTGGAACTGATTCTGCTTCTGCTTCTTTTTAAAGCATAAGCAGAATCACAATCAGTTTTCAGAAGCTGGTCTACCCTAGCTGCTAAAAAAATTGATTCTAGGAGTAAATTAGAGCACTAGAATCACTTCTGCACTTTCATCTAAACACTCCAACTTCTGCTTATGCTCCCTGAAAGAGCAGAAGCAGTTTTAAGAATCAGATCCAAACACCACCTTAGTCCTTAGTTTTGAAATGGAATACCATTTTCATAAATTGCACTACCTTCATCCCACTAAATATACCTAATACGCAAATACCATCATCCCATTTCTCTAGGACCTATAGATACTACAAATCTAATATACTAAATTAGTGTCACGGTAAGAAAATAGGGAAAATAACTTAAATCATATCAACCATCACTCATAAACCAATAACCTTTAGAAATAATTTTTAATGAATCTGGCTATTAGTCCATAGAATTTATGACAAAAATGTATATTGGACCGCTTTCTGACTACAAATCATCTAATAAAAGTTATTCAAGATGTGGTCACCTGTTTGATATGTTAATATTAGTTTTTTTTAGTTAAAGGACTAATAAATTTCTAATGAAAAACGGTTTTGTATCACTTGTGTTAGAACATCTCCAATGGTTACACGTAGGGACTTACTTGCAATTTTGGAGCTACTATATAGCTCACCATTGGAGTGCATCTTTACTTCTAGCTTGGGCAAGCAAATTAGCCAAAACAAGCTAATTGCTAAAAAGGAGAGAAACTTGAATTAAAATGATAACTACCAAATATATTTAATTTATTTGTAATTGATATATTATATTAATTAATTATGCAACGGTAAAGCTCCAATACAACGGTCAAGTCCAAATGAAAAGTGATTTCAATCTCTCATTGAAGAATGATTTTAAAAATTGAGTATACAATTCTCCTACTCCCCCACTAATAATCTTATTGTTCATACGTAAATCTTCACATGGAGGATCACTACTAGGAAGAGAGCCATTAGGAAGGAAACAAAATCCTACCAAAAGTATATAAATATTTCTTTCTAAATTGATTAGGTAGGAACTTAAATAAGAACATGATTCCTCTCTAAAACCTTCCTCTCTAATTTGCAATTCCTATCTACCTTCCTTTCTAATGTTGTGGGTCATTGAGAAGTACTAAACCTTTAGGAAGGAACATAGTTCCTTTCCATTCTCTTATCCTACCAAACATATTTCATCCTAGAGAGGAAATGGTTCCTTTCTAAATTTTTACTTTGTTGTACAGTAAAATAATTATGTAAAATAAAATAATTATGAAAACCCATACAACAAGTATTATTCCATTCTGGAAAATTCCTCAAACACCGAAAATCCAAACTCCCAAAATTTAACCCCACGAATATCAACCCCAAAAATTCCTACAGTCCAGCCAATTTTCCAAAAGTTTCATCCAAGAAATGTCGATCAATATCATCGAATGCAATTTCAACCATAAAAATTTCAACTTGATCGATATAAATATTTCAAAATAAAAGTTATTTTTATTATATTAATACATCAATTCACTCAAAATGTATATTTTTATAATTGATTGATTTGTGGGGCCTATTTAAGAGACAAGCTTTGTGGCTAACCATTGGACTACCACCTTGGTGGAAAATGAATTAGCTAGAAAAAATAATGTGACAAGCAAAACTACAATGCGTTTAGCTAACCATGGTAGATGCTCTTATATATTCAAATACTTCGTAGTTGATACTATTTAGAATTATTTCCAAATTATGTACTATTATCCTTGATTTAAGAGTGATAGTTTGTAACGATAAAAAAAGAGTGATAGTTTGTATGATTTTAATTATTTCCTCAGAAAATAAGATAGTAAACTAAAACATTGTGCTACATTTAAAAAGATGAAACTCCAGATTTCAATATATATGCAATTTTTAAAATCCAATATAGAGAATTGATGGACTAAATTAAAATGAAGCAATGGTGCTAAAAGATTAATAATTAATTTACCTCTTGGATACTCATGGATCCAATATCACCATCTCCACCCTCGAACGCGACCAAGAGGGAAATCCAGTTAGCCGTAGACCCCTCGTTTACGTGAAAGGCAATATTCTTTCTATACAAGCATTTAGTCCTGCAATCATACCACCTCTCACCTTAGCTTCAACGTAACCTTTCTTCGTATGTATATATATATACGGAATTGAATCATTTGAATGTATAAGACCTTTCGCCGTACACTTAAAATGAAAAGTTGTCAACCAAAATAAGCACACCTCCTTACAATTAAACCAACAGGTACACATTATGTATCTATAATAATATATAGGAACAAGGTGGGGAACCTTTTTTGGTTGCAAATCCCGCCCACTTAAGGGATATTTTTGTCATTTTCTTTGCAAAGTCCCGCCCAAACGAAAGAACAGCTATTTATGGAAACCTTTCATATTAATTAATTGTATTATTAAATGTAATTTGTCCTTAAATACATGTAAGAGTAATGTAATATCATGTGGAGTATGTAAAAGTAACCATACATGGTATTAATGGAAAGAGTAATATCGTAATGATACTGTAATAAATGTTATTGATGGAATTGGTAAGAGTGTAATAAAATTGTGATATACTCCGTACTGGAATTTGATAAATGCACACCACCATTGTACTGTGTTAATTGATTAAATCTGTTTAAGGCTATATACTTACGGGTATTTTATTTAGATTAATAATTTCTTTGTTATGAATTGATGATAAAGAATAAAAAATAAATTGAGTTGTAATTTATGTTGAATAAAAAAATGATATTACATTTTTAATATTTTGATGAAGAAGGAGAAAAGAATTGAAGAAAACAATAAATAAAGAAGACGAAAGCAATGATAAAGAAAAATGATACACGGCAAGGAAGAAAAAGAGAAAGTACAAATATGTAACAGTAGGATCGGTATATCATACGTACGGTATAATGATCTCATGTTATAATTTGCGGTAAAGAGATACTCAGTTTTGGACATTAAAGTAGCGTACTCTCTCCATTGAATAGAAGGAAATTGTCCTAAATAGGAATAAACAACTTTGAGAATTCCAAAATACGACTACTATGTTTTTATTCCCGAAATAAAAGTCGTTACTGGCATAAATTGAAAAAAGACCGTCATGTTTGAAAAATACTGTTATTAATTATAACAAATATTGTCATATCGAATGCATATCGTACTCCAACTATTTAGCAGTCATTACTAAAAGATGGAGTAAATATTGTGGTTTTACTCCTACTTCGGAAAGATAAACAAAACAATCCTATGTTTGAATCCAAACCCTATGTAGTGCTATTTTGGGAAACCACCCTTGGCTAAAACAATGTGCGGTCTAATCTACTTTGTAATGACAATAATATACAGAGTACCATCAAAGCTAATAATAGTAATGATGATGTTAATGATAATAACAATAATAACAACGACGACGACGACGACGACGACAACAACAACAACAACAATAATAACAAGCATACTAATCATAATAACCATAATAACCATTATAATCTTAATAACCATAATAATCATAATAATAATAATCATCATAATAATAATAGTAATAATAATAATAGTAGTAGTAATAATAATAATAATTTATAATTGACGTGATTTCAACCCAGACATATTTGAAACTTTTACTTTTTATTGACTTGAGTAGACATACATGGACCTTTCAAAAGTATTACTGAATCAAAATTTATTTACAAAAATATGACTAAAATTATTATGAATGTACTATTATGGTAACTTAGTAACATAACAATAAAAAATGAACATAATATAGTATGAGTAAAGTTACTACTATTAGTTAGGAGTGGACCTGGTCCGGAATAGGTTCCAGAAAATCCGGTTCAGGCCTAGGACAACTCATCATATTCCGCCCAAGCATGTTACTCGGTCCCAGTTCACAAATTTGAGGACCGACATCGGGCAGTTCCGATTTCGGTCCAGGACCTGCCAATTTCTTCCTTTTTTGACTTGGAATCAGAGGGAAACCGAAAAAATAGAATGAGACCGGGTTTGGATTTGGACTGGGATCGGGATTAAACCGCTCGGGTACCTGAAATTGACTCAAACCCGGGGTTCTAATACCAATGACCAGGACCGGCCGATCTAGAACCGGAACCAGGTCCACCCCTACTATTATTCATAAAAAATATATGAATAAAGTTAATATGACATAAAAGTCACATATCTAATGTCAATTGTTTATTAGAACACAGTGATCACAATTTCACCAAATCAATCTGTTAGAGATATTTTCATTATATTGTGATCAATGTTACTTAGCCTTTTGTAATAATTTATTCATCCATAGAATAGGCTTTATTTGGTAAAGGCTCTTTTGCCTAAATAGGAATGGGCCTCCTTAAATAAGTTGGAGCCCAATCATTTGTTAACCTACCATTCTCCCAGGCTATAAATATGCCCCTTAGGAGAATGAGTAGGTTAAGCTTTTCATATTATTCTGTGCCGCAGTGCCTATTCTCATGTAAGGTTTTTACGCTAAAGTTTCTCATCATTCTGTAAAACCTTCACCATCAATGGAAAGCTTCACTTCATAGATCTGTCTTCCATACACATATTCTAGAATAGAAAACAGGGACCTAACACAATCAGGTGCTCTCTAGAACTTATCACAAACGTTCCAGAGATTTAAATATGAATTGTTGGAACTATTCATCAGGTTCCACCGTCATCTAATAACATAGTTAAAAATGTAATTTATTCATTCCGTGCAACGCACGGGTAAAGAATCTAGTATTATGTATAACAATAATGTTTTTGTTTGTATTGGTTTCCGTCCCAAACAAGGCCAAAATAGACGAGATGAGGAGTAAACATATCAGTTCAGTCCAGACTTATTCAAATCATATTAGACGAAACTTAAACAAATCAGATCAAACTTCAACGAACCAGATTAGAACTAGACGGTTATAAGTTACACATAGGCCATTTGTCTATCAGACCAGACCAGACTTAATTAAACAGATCGGATAAGAACAGACTTAAACATATGATATTAGACTAGAAAATTTCAGTCTATTCTAGGACTATATGCCAAGACTAACTAGAATTGGAAGATTATAAATTTACATGTCCCCCGCTATAGTCGATAAATAGTGCTAAAATACTACTACGTATGTAGTAGTAGAATTACCAGTGCCTCCACCTAGATCCCCAATGTTGTTGTTACAATCCCGACCACCGCCGCTGTCATGCCACCATTTAGAAATATACTCCGTACATTATAGGAAAAAAGAAAGATATTAAATGGATTTCTTTAGAGAATACTTAAGTTACGTAGGTTATTGGCCTGGATAATTTACATATGGGTGGATAAAAGTTAATTGAAGTTAATTAGATGAAGCATGTTCATTAAATTGGTTTAATACACACACATATACACATATTTCATGTATAGGTTTCAAATAAACAATGAATTAATCAGATATTAATTTTTAAAGTGTATTCTAACAAAATTAGGATGATAGAGTACCCACCGGCGGAAAACGATGGGCATCTCACCGCGGTTACGGAGTTCAGTGCCCATACCAGCGACGGCCATGCGGCCAAAAGCGGCGCCGCATAGGTCGAAAAGCGGCGCGTCACGGTAACGCGGAGGAGCTTGGTCAGCGACAACGATTGTGACTGACTTATTTGAACAAATGGTAGGGTCCAGACACCTGACCTTGTAGCAATTTCCACAAGCTTCTCCGCCATCGAACACTTCCGGACTCACCGCTCCCACCCTCGCCTTCAACGGATACGCATCCACCATTATCCCATACCCGCATGCCCCTCCTGCATGTTCAATTCTGACATCAATGTCTAATCCGGCAAATGACTTTGGCATATTTTTATGTAAGTTAAACCGAGACATTCTCAATGACGAGGCTCAACCCAATCAAGAATGTTCGTGACATTCAACATAAAGATACTATAATATGCGAGAAAATATAACCAAAAAAGATTGATCGAGGATTGTACCATTACTGCCATCGCCTTCGGGACTCCCATACCAAGTCGAGTGGCCGTGATACCAATTCCAATCCTCGACACCCCGGAGGGAGACGGCGGCAGCAAAGAAACCAGAGGAGGAGACCACTAGACTCACCGCCCAGAAGCAACGACTTGCCATGGGAAATATGGGAGTGTAAGAATATATTTTCGGGAGATTATGAGGGCTCGGATACGGTTATTGTTATTATATAAAGGGTCGGAAGTACTCCCTCCATCTCAAATTGTTTTGCAAAGTCAACATTTTTTGGTCAATCAATAATAAAAGTCAATCATTTCTATTGATAATTAATTCAATTTTTAATAATTGAAATTGAGATATTCAGAAATTATATTGAAATCTCTTCAAAGTTGCAAAGTCAACATTTTTTAGTCAATCAATAATAAAAGTCAATCTTTTCTATTGATAATTAATTCAATTTTTAATAATTGAAATTTAGATATTCAGAAATTATATTGAAATCTCTTCAAAGTTGCAAACTCCAAATTAGAATATCGTTAAAAATTGACATCCTAATTAAGCAAATAAAATGAAACTGTTTGACCAAGAAAAATTAAATTTGCAAATCAATTTGAAATAGAGGTAGTATGTAATTAGGAACTGCGAAAAGCTTATAACCTTTGTCAATATGTCCCTTGCTAGCTAGGGTATTTTATTCACAAAGAATTTACTGCTTTTTATTTTGGGACCCGCCATCAGTTAAGGAGACAAATCCGCAAGACACCTGAACGCCGGTCATTGTTGGGAGGAGGCAATAGTCAACTTTATAAACGCATTCAGATCATACTTCGTAGTAGTTTATCACTTTATCCGGACAAAAGTAATGTACCATTAATCACACATTTCAAATATACAGTAAAGTCCAACCAAATTGCTATCAAAAGAGTAAGAATAATTTTGCAATTGAAGTGGGAAGGTGTATTTGTTGTATTATAAAATCTTGAAGAATAAGTTACTTATAATAAGCCCACAAACAGCATATACGTGTTTCCACGATCCAGAACGAATGCGTAAAATAATATGATACAATCGGGTGTACCATTCACACAATATAGTTGGATATTTCAACTTATACATACGGAGTATATAGTTAAGATGAAATGAGTATTAACATTAAATTTTAAAACTAGTATATAAATCATTTTTATGACAATATAGTTAAATGAATAAGTTGATTGTAGCATATATATTACGTGTAGATCATGTTATCAATACATATATTTAATATCAATGCTCATCTACTCATTAATAATAAAGTACAACCTCCTAATTCAAATTGAATTTTCAATTAAGTGCTATTGAGTCCAATTAGTGAATAATCATTAATTGCAATTAAATCCTAGCTAAATTAATAGTATTTACTATTTACATATATTATGGAGCATCAATTTTCAAATAAACTAAAAAGAGTAGAATCATTCTATTTAGAGAGAATACATCTATTTCAAATAGTTTGTAATATTGAATTTCATTTCATGTTTTTGAAAGATTTAACGAGTTGGTTATAGATAACCGCATATAATTTGAAAATTTTGATTCGGTATTTTAAACTCCGTAATACTTTGTATATTATGTTCCACACAAATACGCATATTTTTAAATGTTTATAAATTTCATATTTCATTCGATTTATATGCTAATATAAGTACTATATTTCAAGCTCATGTGATGCACAGATGACTAATAATATTTGAGAAACATAAATTCAATTCCAATAGTCCGTACAACTTTTTTGAAAAAGTAACTCGCCTAATTTTATTTCATATTCGGACATATTTATTCATATGCAAAGTATAGTTTTCTTTTGAAAAAAAACAATATAATTTTTTTATTCTACAGTATTGAGTTTCTTTTAATTATAATAGTTATTTTTATTTACAAAGAATATATAAAGAAATAAAATGAATTGTTAAAAATATCAAGTGAATGTAATATTTATTTAGTAATAAAGTATAATGAATAGTTTTTCTTATAAGATACAATTTCATTTTTTTATTCAACAATATTAAGTTTTGCTCATTATAAAATACCTTATACAAAAAGTTTATGTTGGAAATATGCGACAAAAATGTCAATGTATTCAAAACATAAGAGGTAATGATTAAAAACTAATTGGTATACTATTCTCATTTATTTTCAAAATTGACGTGCCACATTTAGTAATTAAATTAAATTATCTTTGAAATCACGCTTAAAACAGGAGAAGCATTTAAAAACACGAGTTATGATTTTCAAATTAAATAATTGATATAATAAGTAAATTGTGACTACATACACATTGCATGATTCTTCTATATAAATATAAATCGTATTAAATTTATTCAAACTTTTTTTCTAACCATTATTTATTCGGATTTTTTTCTAACCAATATGTTTTCATTGTGAAATAAATTCTTCTTAAAATTTGATTTATACCTTGATATATGAGTTTTAATAATGGCCAATTTTACGGTGCAATACCAAGAGTAATGAGTTACATCTTAATATGCTCATATCTTCAAAAGAAATAAATTTCTTTATCAAGTCGGCGAATGTTGTTTATAAGAAAGTTTCCCATTATCTAAAAATGTGATGTTGTCGGGTGTGGTGTTTTACGTTACAATGTCACTTTTTTAATATATTTGCTTTAATTAATTTATTATCCACAACAAACAAACATTTATCTAAAACAAAATGATGAACTATTTATATGTTGTATAAATATATATATCTTAAAAAGTATTCAAACGTTCTCAAAATTCGTCTGGGGTAGAGTCCCGATAAAACATTAAATTTTACACTAATCATATGTTCGATCAAAAGAAATATTGATTAAATTTCTTCACCAAGGCGGTGAGTGTGGTTTATAAGAAAGTTTTTCAAAACCAAACAATGTGATGTTTGGTGTGCATAGTGTTTTACATTACTATATACGGAGTAATGTTACTTTTAATATATTATCTTTAACTAATTTACTATCAACAATGAAAGAATATTTATTTAAACTAAAATGATGAATTACTTATATGTTGTATAAATATATATATCTTTCAAAGTGTTCAAGTATTATCAAAACCGGCTCGGGGAAACGCTCGGGTGTACGGCATAGGCTCTGCCACGAGGCCCACAAATGTACGTACATTTTGTTCTAAAATGATTAGCAAAGTCAACTTTTCTTCATCAACTAATTTTCACTTTATCTACTTACTTACCATATCAATTTTTTATTATATGGTATCAAGGTCAAATTGATCTATAACCCGATAATCATGGTGTGGCCCCCATATGAAAAATGACAGTGCAATTTCAAAAAATGACAATGATGAGACGATAAAAAATTAAAAATGAACGATGACACGACCTAGATCGACGAAATGTCTGGTCATAAGGAGGGGTGTTAAAGTCTCATACCGTTAAAAAGGGACGTGATATATTATGATTTTGTACTATTTCTCCTATCAAGTTGACCTTTCAGAATGGAACCACACATTTTGTCACGCCCCAGACCGCAATCCAAGCGCGTGTACAACCGCCGTATAACCAAGTGACGTCACCCACGAGTCAACCTCACTTAATTACACAAGGCGTTCGAGAAAACAATCCATCCATACTCAGTAGTAAACATACATAACAACATCACATTTAAACCAATGAATAGCGGAAATATTCAACGGTAAGTCATGAGCCACAACCGGCCAACAACATGGGCATGCAAGCCCCAAAATAGTTTGTAGTAAAACAAACATCCATGAGCAAGTGTTCGGTAGTTTGAAGGAAAATAAGGAAGCACGAACCACGTCTTCCTGATTTGATACCACCCGTGAGAAGGTGCAAGTAGCAAGCCCTAGCTTCAACCTGAAAATGGTGGGGCCCCCCGAAGGGGTCAGTACAAGTACCGAGCGAGTAGCAGGCTAAATATAGAATAACTAGCGTTTCAAGTATAAGACCCAAACATAGGGTGATACTTAAATAGATAGTCTTTCCCCAAGTTATGAAATACTTATTAGTATAAATATATACTTGGAAAATATCCGATCCGTAGATCACCATTGTATTTGGGAAAAATAGTAATAGTCAATATTCTTGACTAAAAACCCCAACCCACCCATATACCAATGAGTGTATAGGACTCCTCCTTGTCCCTATTTCAATATCATAATCTATGAGTTTTGAGGATCATAATCCTTGGGTACTCCACCGGTTTGTGAGTGTTAAGGACTCATAAGTCCTAGGGTCCTCCACCAAGTTTTGAGTGTTAAGTACTTTTAAGTGCCAGGGTCCTCCACCAAGTTTGAGTGTTAAGTACTTTTAAGTACTAGGGTCCTCCACCAATTTATAGTCCGAGTGTTAAGGACTTTAAGTCCTAGGGTCCTCCACCAATTTATAATCCGAGTGTTAAGGACTTTAAGTCCTAGGGTCCTCCACCAATTTATAATCCGAGTGTTAAGGACTTTAAGTCCTAGGGTCCTCCACCAAATTTTGAGTGTTAAGTACTTTTAAGTACTAGGGTCCTCCACCAAATTTACAATCCTATGATCAACCTTCTATCAACCTAGATAGAGTCTATATCATACTTAGTTACTCATAACTAATTCAATACATAAAGCTCATGTATCACAATTCATGCAAAACCATGCATTTATATAGATTTATAATTAATTAATACCAACCGGTATTAATTAAATCCTTTGTCCATCGGTCAACGTTTTCGTTGACCGCCATTTCATGCCTCGTGTGCATCAACTTAATCATCATATAATTAAGTTAATAATATTCATTTGTGCTTCTAATACACTTCAAACAAATATGCATTTCATATGATTCTTTATGTTATATTCCATGCATCAACAATTAATTTCTTTCATACAAGCTTAACCCTATTGGCTAATCACATGTTTAAATATCTTTTAAACATCATTATGAACTCATATAACATTTATTTAGGTAATCTCATACTTAACCCAAAAGTTATAAGATATTAAGCCGTCCACTCACCTTGAACTAGCGTTATGAAGTTCTACCCCTCTTGGTTGAATTCCGGTGGAACTCCGGCGACTTTCGGTCAACTCCGGAGACAACTCCGGCGACTTTTCCAACCTTGTGAAATCACTTGAAATACCTTTCACAAGTTCCTAACAAGGTTTTATAATCATAAAACCCA